TGACTTACAGCAGTTTTGTTAGCACCACCTATAGATAGAACCTAGATATAGTCTTCCTGGTCTAACAGGCATGACCAAGAGGAAACTCTTGGCTTGGAGCATATGGAGCTTTTGTTTCAGAGTTTTCTCCCTCTGTTACTCATCACACTAATCCAAATCATGAATTTGCTCTTACTTCCTTGTATTTGAAATACTTCTTAAGCAGGAGCTCACTTACCTGTGACTCCAGTTTCCTAGTGGCTTGTACCAAATCTTTCATGTGGACTCTCGCTCCTGACAAGAGGCTTTCTAAAAACACAGTTGTAATCAACATTGAATGGATTCCTGCTGTTATTCCCTGCCTACTTGATGGGGACTCCTTGTTACTCAGTTTAAGGGCAGGACTGGACATAGTGCAGGTTTTCTGATCCCATGCAGACCGGGTAAAGGAGGAGTCTGAGTCCTCAGTGGTTTTTTGCAGGTCTTTTATTGGGGTTCACCAGGCATATGGCAGGCAGGGGTGCTGGGGGGCCGGGAGGCTGGCAGGCCTCCCAGCCCCCAGCAAATCTTCACTCTATCTGGGCTCTCTGGTGATCTCGGCTTCTCTTTCGGCTTCTGCTTCGGCTTCTACTGCTGCTTCTGGTGTCCCCGTGACGCCGCCCTTAAAAGCACAGTCTTAGCTCAGCTGAATCCCATCTACCTATGCCCACACCCTATTCCAGGTGACCACCATCAGGCATGCATTCAGGACAAGGATCCATCATCTATCCTGATGGCAGAAGGGCAGAAAAGCCTGATATTTTCTTTACCCTACACTCAGCCTTAAGGCTGTCATGTCTTTTGGACATTAGTCTTTCTGACAATTCTCCTCCCAGAAGCTAGCTGTTTCAGAATGGTTAGTGTTCCTTTGTCCTGTTTACTGTTTGAATTTCTCTTCCTTTCTTGGTTATTAATGTTACTAAGGTACTAGTCTGTCTCATGTCTCAGTGTGCCTAATTAATGTTACCATGACATTTATTTCGTATGTCATATAAGTATACTTATTTCCATTACTTTAAGATGAAGTCACTAAAGAATAAGGCATTTTATCTCTAACTTTCCCTAGAATTCTCAGATGCTGATATGGGAGGAAGTACTGTTGAAGTTCTTTGACGCCCTTGAAGCCATTACTCAGTTGACCCTAGGGAACTATACTTACTATTTATAACCTGTCCATCTACTTCTGTATCTATTATGTGCCTAATGACACTTCCTATATTTAACTAAGGTCTAACAGCAATCACTACTTATATTTTCTTGCTTAATTGTACTACTTGATGGTGTCTGCATTCCCTTGAACTCAATGATGTTCCATATCCTGATAATCCAGTTCATATCTAAAGTTGCTTTAAATTAGTCATTTGACCTAGTTGAGCAAAAAAAATGATGCTCATATCTTTCTAAATAATGTTTCTTTTCTAGACACTGGTAGTTGTTATTCTGGCTCTGGAGTTTTTTTCACACAGTGCAACTTTAGGAATACCAAGTTTCTTTCCATCTACTAAAAGCATTTTTATTTGAACACAAGTTTTAATTCTCCATCGTCTCCTAAAGTATTTTCCTTCCTGGTATCTTTACCAGATCATTTCTTTAACCACATTCAGATACCTTCATTTTCTCTAATACCCCGTAGTTCTCCCACACCATAGCACCTAGGACCCATTATCATAGTCTTGTGCTCTTCCCTCCCTTGTATGATCCCTCCCCCTCCTCTTCCCCTGTTGTATACCTCAGATTTATGGCTCACATATTTTTGTTAACCTTTTTTTTTTGCAATGGAGATAAGACTCTTTAGAACACAGACTACAAAATTGTTAATGATCTCAGGCAAAATTATAATGATGATATATCTAGGGACTTGGAAGAGTTTCATTGATGTCCATGCTTTCTGGGCTCACAATAAACAACAAACTTCTGTGGTTTCACCACCAATGGCCAAGCAACTTGTGTGTTTTAATCATTGTCACTAAGAACTCTGTCAATATTTTTAAATCTGCCTGATTTCTATCTTCTTCTCAAACTACTAATTTCTGCTAATATGATACATGTGAGTAATTTTTACCTTTTGTCTATCCATTCCTGTCTCCTTTATGGTCCATAGCTGTTATCCTAGGGATTTTTATCCTAGAAATCCTCATTTTAGAATCTCCTTTGTCTCTCTTTTAAGTTGAGTTCCTTATTTACTTGATCCTAGTCTTCTTTCTTTATTGAATCTTTCTTTTTGATGAAGGATTTTCTTGGTTGTCTGAGAAAGGTTCTATGTATCAGTCAGGGTTCACCAGAAAAATAGAATTACGGGATATACACTAGGGATTTATTTTTTAGGAACCAATTTATGTGATTGTAGGAGCTGCTTAGGCAAGCCCAAAATGTGTCGGGTGGCCTTTCCTATATCTTGGATAATCTCTTTTACTTCAAGTCAAGGGATGTCTATTTTTTCTATTGTTTCTTGAGATAGTGAAAGTGTGCAAAGTCTGTAAGAATAGTGTGGGGAGTCTTCCTTAGCAATGAGAGTTTAATCTCAAATCATTTAGATACAGTTTCCCTTCTTAGAGTATTGGATACATTTTCATGTATCTTTATTTTTGGTTCCCCCTCTTTAGGCTCAGTTTGAATAATTGTTTATATAAACACATTCCACCCATTCATTCTACAGGTAATAAAAGGGTATAATTGTTTAAGTTATGCTTGTTTCATTTGCATTTGGGTCTTTGACTAGATTAAGATCGTTTAAGTAAGAAAATATCTTTTGAACATGTAATTTTTTCAGCTGTCTGCTTTTATCTACTGTATTTTAATTCTTATTAATTTTAATTACATGTTTGGCCTTTTTATGATCTTGGCTAAGAACCTGAGAGTTTCTCACTATACTCATCCAGATTATTTATACCATATATAAATTCTAACTTTTAGTAAGAAATTCTAAAAATCTGGACATTCTGATTTTTAATCATTAGAAAGTAAATTAGCTAGATTAGCAACCTTTTTTTTTTTTTAACAACTGAAAAATTGTACCCTAGATAACAATGGAAAAAATGTATTCCAGGTCCATCCCTGTTCCGCGTTAGCAATGAATTTCAATTCATAACCTTATACAGTTGGCTATAGAGTACCAGCATTCCCTTCCCACATCCTTATCTACAACTGCAGCCTCCAGCCAACTCCCTGAGACATAGAGTTCTATATTTCTTGGAAGGTTTGATGCAATTCATTACCACAATCAAAGTCTTTTGAATCCAGCCACAATGGTTGGTAATTACTCCAATGTGGAGAAAAGTCAAACTGCATGTGAACATACTTCACCAACAATTTCTAGTCAGAATCCTCAAAGCAACAATGCACATTCTGTTTTGGTTTTATAATTGTAGAGTAGAAGCTCAGTTAAATGTTTTACATAATGATTCTTTGGACAGTTAGCATTGATAATATAATACATGGGCTTTATTCAGCATTCAACCCTTGGTAAGCATTTAAAAATACTTCTACTCTATAGAAAGGACTTGTTAGCATCACTCCTATGGCTCAATAATAGCTTTGTCAATAAACAGATCAACCAAAATGAAATTTTCATAGTCAATATGAAACTATTTTCATGCTTTGGAATCCATTTCACAAACAACTTTATGTGGAATTCCAATAAATAAAACAGATAAGACTTGCTAAAGTTGAAGAGTATGGGATGCCCAGAGAAGTGAATTTAGCTTCTCTTCTTATCATGGTGGTCAGCAAAGTACATCTGTAGAATAGCAGAGTTCTGCAGAACATGCTAGAAAATGAAGCATAAATCTATCTGATTTCCAAAAACATTTTGGACAATTGCTTAATAACATATTGTCTATTTTTGCCATATAAGATGTAGTCAATAAGCAACAGTGAATGATTTAAAATAAATAATTGTAAAATAAAAATCGAGGGAAAAAACTTGCCTTCAAAAAAATTCTTGAGGCTGGAGAGAACTTAAATAAAAAATTAAAGAGGGTATTATGTAAGGAAAATTTAGAGCATAAATAATAAACACAAATATTTAAAAGCATACCATATGGAGCACAACTGATCTTGTTTGATCTGGGAAGCTAATTATTGATAATCTTGGTAAGTTTGGAAATAGAAAATACCTAGGGTTACCAAGAGTTGTCTACATACCAAATAATTTCAGAGCAAAGATATAGTTGTGTTTACCAGGAATCTAGCACTTGACACAGTTGTTTTGCTTGCTGTGAGTACAAATGTAACTGAGACTTAACAGGAACCTAAATTGTTTTATAAGTCTCTTAGAGGAGATTTTGCTACATCCAGTAGAGCTAGTTATATGAATAAAATATAATAAACATAATATATACTATGATAAAACTATGAATTATGATTGTTGGAAAGTTATATGACATGTCTGAAACAAAACTTTCCAGTAACCAGAGTATTTATAGGTTCTAGATGTATTATATAAGAGGGGTTCCTGTGCACAAGAGCTAAAGAACAACTAAAGTCATCGAAGGGACAAGAATAAACAGTTCAGTTTTAAGGACTTAAAAGACTGACAGAAGGTTTTACAGAGGATAGAAGGGATCATTAATTATAAGATGAGTAAGTTCTGGGCATCTAATATACAGCTTAGTGACTGTAGTTACCAATTTGAAATTGAAATTAGCTAAGAGAGTGGATCTTAATTTTTCTCACTACACCCCTCTCTCTCACACACACACACACACACACACGTAACTATGTGAAATGAAGGATGTTTAAGTACTGTTATTGTGGCGATCATTTCAGATAGTGTATGTGTATCAAATCATCACTTTGTACAACTGAAATTTACATAGTGCTTTTTGTCACTTATATCTCATTAAGTTTGGGGAAAATTAAAGAATCTCCTCATGTTTACATGGACTTAAATTTACTTTGTTTTCAAATGTTGTATTTATAAGGCACTTTTGTCTTTCAAAAGTAGTATTTCAATGACAATGACATTATTGCTTCCTTTGTAGAACCTACCTGTGAGACTTTGGCCAAATCAGACTGAACATAACATAGAGCACATATTTGCTTCTTCTTTCAACTAGTGCTTCACCTTGGTGATTGTGCCACATGGATGACTTTCAGAAACAACAGTTGTATTGTTATACAGAGGTGAGTCAGTCCCCAGTGTTTCTAAAGGCTAAATGTTCTGACCCTGCAACTGAATACTATCAGAGACACAGTTAATCCTGACTAGCCTTTCATCCTTTCATTAATTAACATGTATAGTTTTTACAACTGTTTAGGCACTGGATAGCTGCTGTAAATCATACATAATTTAATACAATATGGCTTTTTCCCCTAAGGATCTAGTTATGGCTGTTCTTATATTTTCCCTTCTGTCCATCTCTGAAAAAATTTCACTTCATTTCTTGGCACACCATTCTAGGGTTGGATATGTTTCCAGAGATTGCTCTTGGCTTAGAGAAATGACTCTCTGGCTTGCCAGGATCCCATACAGAATCTGCCAAGTCAAATTTGGTGCCAAAGGGAATGTGTGCTTTGTTTGATCAGCACTCATTTCTGAATTGGGTTCTGGAAAAAGAAAACAGGAATTTTGTGAGTATCTATGGAGCCAGAGAAAAGTGTCCTGATTGCAGTCTCTCCTGATTACAACTGTGCTGGTACCAAATGTGGCACTTGAACCTCTACTGTGATCTCATGGCAACCGAATTCAATTTCTGCATGCAGCAAATGTTAGGACCTATTAAATAGATGAGCTATACGAGTTGTAAAGTATCCAGTTCTCAAGTTGGAAGTGACTTTGTCTTTGATAACTTCACCTTCCTCAAGAAACTGCTCTCCTACTATCCTATAAGAATGTTAGTTTCACTCTGTTCCCATGATGATCCATAAATATCCATCCTGAACTCATGATGATGATTGGATTCAACATTGTAATTGAATATGCCTGACTTTTCTACTCTTGTCAACAGCCTTTTTTCTGGAGTATCTCCCAGTGTGCATGTCATATCCTGTTAGGAAGATTATGAGCCTATAGGATTGCATATCATAGTTTTATAAGCAAAGATCACATTTAATTCTGTCATTTCCAGCACCTAACAAAGTGTTAGTGCTGTAAAAGACCAAGACAATACCTTAATATAAATAGATGCAGGATATTTGCAAACTTTAAAACTACTTATATAATAGTCTTATCTCCTGTAATTCCTATAGTTACACTGCAAAAGGATGGCAAATTTCTCTTTGAAAATGAGGAAACTGTGTAAAGTGAAGCCAATAAATGGTTTCACTGAAGTAGCATAGATAGTAACAGAACTAGATTGAGGGTCAAGTTCCCCGATTCCTAATCCCAGATTCTTTTTCTTAAAAATTGCTGTCTGATAGCTGTTCCCAACAGAATTTTTATTTAAATTAGATATTACATCTCTTGAAACTCTATGGTGTGGCTAGAGATAGTGAACACTCAGAGTTGCAAAACCATTATATTTAGGATTTTTTTGAAAGAATACATCTGAACCAAGTTTTGTTGAAATCCAGTATTTTTCAGACGTTTCTTATATCCACTCCAGCTTGACTTTACAACATTGTTCATATAGTGAGACTCTGGGCCAAAGCTCATGGGACTTCTTGCCAAATCTATGGATCTGTGGTCATGACTTTAATTTTAGAATATGGAAGAGATTTTAATAAGGGTCATGAATCACTGTTGACAAATAAGTAAACAGATTAAGACGTTTTTTTGAGACTATGAAGGTGGTTGAATCTGCATCTTTTTTTATCTTTGTCCCCTTGGAGTACCTGTCTTAAGTGTATGTTAGAGTCAAGGTGCTTATTTAAAATGTAAATTCTCTGGTCATATGTCCAGATATTCAGATACATTAGGTTTGGAATGGAGCCTATGACTTTTCACAGCAAGTTATTGTGACACTGATTCAGAATCAGAAGACACACTTAGTTTTGGTAATGGAAAGTGATTTTGTTAGATAATGTCTTTTATACAGAAATAAATTTGTAGGGTCTGTGAAAATCATAAATAAATTGTGATCTTGAAAGAAGCCTCTAAAGTGGATAGGATTAAGTCAAGCAAAATATATATAATAAAAGATGTATGTCCATGTAAGTTTTTTTTTTTTTCCCTATAAAGTAGTTTTATGACATCTTGCGAAAGTTGCTTGTGCAATTGGTCATTGAAATAAATAATAAAACATCAATTTGACATGACACAGATTTCTTCTTTGGGAAACAAGGTTTTGTTAATTGACTTCTAAAGTCATGATAAATAATTTTTTTTTAAAGATTTATTTTATTTACACAAGAGCCAGGGTACAGGCCAGATGCGCAGGAGGGTGAGAGGATTCACCAGAGACAGAGCGGGGAACAGAACAGGCTGAGGGGAGCAGCAGGCGAGACAGGAGAGGTCTGCTCGCCATGTGGGTTGCTCCGAGGCCGGCGGGGATTGAACCGGCACTGCAGAGGCTTGCGGACAGCATCACAGCATCACAGCGCTGCACTCAACTGCCTGTGCCACCGGGGAGACCCATGATAAATAATTTTTAAAAACAAAGCAGGGACTATATAAAGAAATAACTTTCTTATCATTTCACAGATTCTTTGAATCCTCAAAAGACAGAGGACTGGTTCATATTTTCATCATGATTTTTCCTTATTCTCTTCAACCCCAAGACTTTAAAACCCTTTCCAGATATTTTGGTAAAAGTTTCTTTCCGGGGCATCCCTGGTGACCTAAGGGTTAAGTCTCAGTGCAATGGCGGCAAGGACCTACTTCAATGGCCAGAATTCTATCCCCAGCCAGGGATCTAACCCACTCGGCGCAGTAGACCTTTTCTCTTTCTCCCACTGCTCTCCTTCACAGTGTACTTCAGTATATCTGTGTATTCTGTTCCCCACTATGTCTCTGCTGAACCCTCTCACCCCCGTACCTCTTGCCTGCACCCCCTGTAGAATGGGGGTTCTACACACACAAAAAAAATTTCCTTCCTACTGTGGCTAATACAAGAATTAATTAGAGATAATATGAATGATGACATGAATAGGATTACTACTAATTTTGAACAGGATATTTTAACCATAGCAATGACCAGAGAAACTGTCAGATGAAGGTTCTGGCCTGGATGATTGCTAAGGTCATTCAAATTCCAAGTTTTTTATGTTCTGAAACATCAGAAGTCCACACGGAATTCTTACCTACTCATATGAAAAACTATATTTGGTTTACTGGAGACCTCACAGAATTATATGTGTCTCATTCTCTGAGTAAATTCAGTGGCAACCTTGCGTATACAAAAAGATTGATAAAATGTTATTGATTTACCAAACTATAAATTTCAGGGATACACCTTCATCTCTGTGTATAAGCCTCACTTTCAACCACCATCAAAATTCTAGAATGATTTGTAGATATCAAACACTTAATTCTATCAAATACCTCATTACAATCAAGGAAAAGAGTTATGGCAGGCAGACTGCAAAAAAAAAAAAAAGGTTTTAAATTGCACATAATATGCCTTTCAAAATTCGTTTCAAAATGTGCTCACTGTCTTGTTTTGAATTCCTTGAATTTTTTCTCTGGGTATTTGGTATGTAATGATTTGTCAGTCAGTGGCATTCCTGTAGGTACATCTCTGTCAGAATTCCAAAAACATATTAGCAGTGGTAAAACACAGTCCTCAGAGGTAGGCATATTTTACTGTAAGATAACATTCCCCTTTTAGGCATTGTTTGCCATGTGTCTTTGAATACCTAGGAATTGTATTATCTCATTGTAGCAGAAGGCTTAGTGTTTTCTAATGTAATTATGTGATGAAGGAAAGTGTAGTTTAGAATGAATTATATTGCACTGCTTTATGTTTTTAAATGACAGATTTAATAACAATAAAACAGGTAACTGTAAGTAACATAGTAAGAGGATAACATAAAACTACATCTAAAAGTGATATACTGAGGACTTCCTAGGATAAACCTCTATAATGATTAAATGGGATAATCTTAAATCAACTTAATTTATTGGATTTACCTGAAAAAAATCTTCCCCTGTAAAATGTACTAAATCTAAAGAAGACGTTATGGCTTTTAATTTAATTTCACTTTATTTATTTTTTTAATATTTTATTTTTATTTTTTAATTTTTAAATTTATTGAGGTATCATTTAACTACAGCAAAAATACAGATGCAAAACCCTATGAATTCTGGCAAATGTATAGAGTCATATAAAAATACCACAGTCAAGTAATAGAGTATTCTTAGCACCCCAAAATGTCTCATGTCTCTTTGTAGTCAGTCATCTCCCTTTACCCCTGACCCTTATTAACCACTACTTTCTTTTTTTAAATTTTATTTTTATATTCCCCATACAATTGCAAACCCTTATTTTGACCCCATTCCCTCCTTTCCCCATCCCCCACCCCCCATAGAGTGTCTCTGGTTCATAGTTGTTTGTTGATTTTGATTTTTTTCTTTCTTATAGTTATTCTTTTTCCTGGTCCCTTATTTAAGTTTTCTAGATTCCTGCTATGAGTGAGACCATCTGGTATTTTTCTTTTTCTTTCTGGCTTATTTCGCTGAGCATGATCCCTTTCAGCTCCATCCATGTTGCTGCAAATTGCATGTGTTTCTCTTTTTTGAATGCTGAGTAATATTCCATGGTATATATGTACCACATCTTCTTGATCCAGTCATCTATTTTGGGCATTTGGGTTGTTTCCAAAGCTTAGCTATTGTAAACAGTGCTGCTATGAACATAGGGGTGCAGGTGCTCTTTGAAATTGATGTTTCTGTGTCCTTTGGGTAAATACCTAGGAGTGGAATTACTGGATCATATGGAAGCTCTATGTTTAGTAGGTCCAGAAATCTCCACACAGCTCTCCATAGTGGTTGGACCAGTTTGCACTCCCACCAACAGTGCAGGAGAGTTCCTTTTTCTCTACAACCTCACCAGCATTTGTTGTTGCTAGTTTTTTTAGAATGTGCCATTCTCACTGGTGTAAGATGGTATCTCATTGTAGTTTTGATTTGCATTTCCCTGATTGCAAGTGATGTAGAACATTTTTTCATATTTAGTGGTAGAGTCCAGCTTCTGGTTTTGTCCTTCTGCTTATAGCACCATGATTTCCTTATAGGAACTTCTACT